AAGATACATTTGTGTTTTCAACTTGCTTTTTTGTACCAATTCATCTCAGTTCCCTGAACTGTGCAAGTATGAACTCCCAACCATGAAATGTATTGATAAGCCTGGACACTCCAGCCAGACCTGAGTCAAGCAGTATTTGAAAACAATTATTTGTTTTTTTTTAACCTGCTTGGAGTACCAAATGAGATTGGTTTATATGTAATTTTACAGCAAGTTTAGACAATCACTGAAAAGCATTTAAAAGCCATTTGTAAATGTGCCTTAAACCCACTTAAATGGTACCCAACAGGGTTACATAAATACAGAGGACTTTCAGATACTGTTAACGGGCTGGAAAACACTGTTTTGTGGCTTTTGACAAGAACACACATTCCAGTTGTATGTGTAATATGAACGATTGAAGTGTTAAATGTGTTGTTGTACATCATGATACCAACAATTTCTGCAATTGAATAAAATTCATACTGCATGTAAATTATTATTAAAGGTGGACCTTAAGTGGTTTGTGTCTGGATCACTGAACCTCCATACTGGTCAGGGGGCCCTGTGGCCAGATCTTCTGTTCAAAGTGACTGTTAAAGGTTCTTGTTGGAAGCTCAGTCAAACTAGCACAGATATACAAAATGACCATAAAGAGACAAAAAGTAACTACAGAGATGCAGAATGACAACAAAATTACTACAGAGAGACAAAACAACCACAAAGACAAATATGAAGAGAGACAAAACAACCACAAACAGACCACAGAGACACAACATGAAGTTACAAAATAACCATAAAGAGATGCAAAACAACAGACACACAACATCTTTAGAAACAAAGATCTACAGGATATTGAAAACAATTACAAAGAGATACAACTACGAACAGTTTAAGGATCTTTCTCATACAAAGGAGAGGTGGGGGGCCATCTCCAAATCCATCCGTGATGATGAAAATGATTCAAATTAATTTACATTCTCCTGTTTTGACACTAGAGAGCAGTATTCATCTTCATGTGACAGGAACAGACAGCTCTCACAAGCCTTCACCCAGACATTATAATTTGAATATCGGTTGTGCTTTCTTGCACACCAGATGTTTTTAAGGCGGCAAGTCTTGTGCCAAGAACACATAATTTTAGTTTTTTCTCACAGACATACATCCATACTGAAGATGGTGCTGGTTTTCCTTCTAATACTGGCAGCCCTCTTTCAGGGTAACATACTGCTTTGATAGATTTGACTCTATACAGAGTGCACTAACTAAACTTTCTACAACTGATACAGAGTTAGTTACATTTTTACATTGGAATTGTTCTTTATATAATATATTACATGCAGTAGTAATGTTTTATGTTTTTGCAGGATCGACAGCCAATCCAACTGTCAGTCAGTCTCCTCTATCAAAGTCTGTAGGTCTGGGACAGACGGTCTCTCTGAGCTGTACAGCCAGCAACGGAGTTGATGATGATCTCAATTGGTACCTGCAGAAACCTGGACAGCCTCCCAAACTGCTGTTTAAAAAAATAAGTAGATGTTAATCTGGTACTCCGAGTCGTTTCAGCAGCAGTGGCTCTGAACCTGAATTCACTCTGAAAATCAGTGGAGTCCAGGCAGAAGATGCAGGAGATTACTACTGTATGGGAGCGTATGTGGGCCTGCGCACACAGTGAAAAAGAGTCGTACAAAAACCTCCATCAAATTAGACTGTGTACAGATTGCTGCACGGCAGCTGTGACCTGTTCCAGAATATTCTGATATGCACCACTGCTCACCAGAACATAGCACAGTCATGCAAAGCAGGGCCACAACCTACGGTAACTTCTGTAATTTCATCCCCAGTCAAAAGGGAAGTGAAACTCAGATTTTCATGTCCCTGACACTCAGGGTTTGTTCCCTTTTACAGCTCCAGGTTAAATTATGCACACAGTCTTCCTCACTAAGAAAAACAAAAGGCAGCTCGGGTCAGAAATGAATGCTGACGTTCAAGTATACTGTGTAGGATCGATTTATATCCCTGCATCTCTGTTACTGTACTTATGGCTGTCAGTATTGAATTATCCAAATAAATGTAGCACCTGGATCTATTTGATCAATTATGAAAACAAGGAGGGAAATAAAAGTCACTCACTTATCAGTCACTTATTGTGTTCAATGTGAATCCATTTGACAGCAGGGAGCACCTATTGATGAGATGCTGATTAAGACCAATGTTAACAAAGGAGAAACGTTTGAAACAAGAGAAATAAGTTTTTAGGTGGGCTTTAAATAACCCAATGTTCTTGATGATGAACTGTCACCTCACCTCATCTCTGCCTTTTCTGTTTCACAAGAATAGATGTGTGTTTGCCTTCTTAAATGTATTTAGCTTGACTTTTATACATCACTGCTCCTCAGAGTTCTTATGTCACAGAGAGTCTGAACTGTTTTCATACACACACACTGAAAACTGCAAGTTGGACATCTGAGTCAGGTTGAGAAGTTTAGAAAATATTAGGTGCAAATCTGCAATCAACAATTTTCTGACTCGGACAGACAAATCCAAGTCTGTTAGTGTTGGCGACAATCTTCCATAAACAGTTTTAGACTAATTATCTTGTCAGTTTATTAAATCTCTATTTGATTTAGCTGGGAAAGTTAAATTGTTCTTGGACTATACCTACTGGAATCAAAAAATGAGTGAGGATTTTATATACGTTTCTACACATGACAAACAATTATCGTCTGCTTGAAACAAAGTCATTGTTTTTATAGTTTCAAATCAGTTGATATATATTAAATGTAAATGATGCTTTTACATAATACTAATTTACAAAGTCATTTTTAGGGTGCTCCGCCTTCCTCCCACCGTCCAAAGACATGCAGGCTAGGTTAATTGGTGTCTACAAAATTGTCCTTAGGTGTGGATGTGAGTGTGAGTGGTTGTCTGTCTGGCCCTGCGATGGACTGGCAACCTGTCCAGGGTGTACCCCGCCTTTCGCCCGATGTCAGCTGGGACTGGCTCCAGATGTCTAGATAGCTATACAAATACTTACTATTTAAATACAGTAAACACTGTAAGTAAATTAAAGGCAGACAAACAGTTCCTTGAACCTTTGACTGCACTTCTAATATAAATATTTTCTTCTGTTCTATTAAGATTAAAGATGTGTAAATCCTTCAGTCTGTTGAGAACAGAGAAATCATTTCCATAGAGAGGAGGTTTTGCATCGTCAGCTGATCCTACAGTGAACTGAGAAGGTTTATAGTCCTGTGAGTTCAACACTGCAGGACTCAGATCTGTCAGTCAACACAGCAGAAACTACAACCACCATGACTCTCATCACCATCCTCATCTTTATGCTGGCCTGCTGCTGCCTCAAAGGTCAGGATCATTTTTAACATAAAATTAGAAACTAATTAGATCACTAAAATCATTCACATACATGCAGGATTTAACACATGTGTACATGTTAATATGACTCAATTAATGTTCAGTGTTTCCCTTCTTTTTCAGGATCTAGTAGTGAACTGACTGTCACTCAACCAGCAGTAGTAACATCTTCTCCTGAATTTACAGTCACTCTGACTTGTAAAACCAACCCAAAAGTTAAGACATGGTCAGATGGAACTAGTAGAATGCACTGGTTTCAGCAGAAATCTGGAGAAGCTCCCAAGTTGGTCATCAAAGTGGGTAAAAATACTACTAGTGAGTTTTCTTCCAGATTCTCTGGCAAAGGAGACGGAGTGAACGCTGTGATGACCATCAGTGAAGTTCAGGCTGAAGATGCAGCAGTTTATTACTGTCAAAGATACGATTACATAAACAACGCTTGGGTGTTCACACAGTGATTTGTAGTCATACAAAAACCTCCCTCAGTCAGACTGCAGAGACACTGAGCTGTTACAGCAGGAACCGACTGCAGCTGCTGAAGAGGAAGAGATTCTGACACAGACCACTGAACACAGAGCTGACAGTAACCTCACCAAGCACAAACTACAGATTTACACTAACATAATGGCCTATTTCATAATTTTTATATTCTTTCCACATGACAAAGTGTGAAACTATGATATCTAACGTCTAACGTCCGCAGAATTTATAAAATAAAACCCATTAAACTTAGAAACCCAAATATTCATTAACATGTTTTGTATACAATACATAAATACATTAAACATTTTAGATTACTTATTACACTTATTTGCTTTCTTGCAGACCAGTACCACTCTCATACCTGTCCATTAAATATAAAGCTACAGTTAGCAGCCGGGTAGCTTATCTTAGCATAAATACTAGACAATTTTCAATAGCACTTGTGAAAAAACATATAGCTTTGAAAGCCAACATGTAGCAGATTATTTAAAAAATACATTCTTTTTCAGAAACTTTTTTTGCTGATCAATACCACTCTCATTTCTGTCCATTAAATTTAAAAGTAAACTACATATTCATACAAATAATTGAATTTATCAAAATATTCTCAAAAATCTAATGACACCACATTTTCTGTTAACATTTACTCTCTGCTGGAGACGTTTAAGGCCTTATGACACGTGAGTAATGACGTTTTGCCTTGCTAAAATGTATGTAAGTATGTCTGTGTCTTTTATCTTCAATAAAACACGTGTTCTTTCATCATCTTGTCGACCATAAAATATCACTATTACCAATTAAAGTCAGAAAACCATTTAATTCTTTCTTTCTAAGATAAAAGACCAAACATTTCATAAAGATTTTTATCAGTGCAAGCTTTATTAGCAAAAACAACATGACAGTTATTAAGCACACTCACATCTAGCTGCTGAGCTACACACATTACTCTCTAAGTTGTTGTTGTCCAACACTTTACAGCAGTGTTGTTCTCTGTCACACAAAGCTTTAGTTTCCTCTACAAACAGTAAAAGTCATATTGATCAGAGCAGCAGGTGTGTTCCTCCTGCTCCCCACACACAGAGCTCCTGTCCTGGGCTTCAGCCCCCCTCTAACCCTTACACTGGCTCCTGTGGAGGGACTGTGTCTGGCTGTGGTCATGATGGAGGACCTTGCAGGAGTACAGCTCTCCTCCCATCCAGCGCTCCTTGCTCAGGCTCAGGGTGCTGCTGCTGCTATAGCGTCCGCTCTTCTCCTCCTCTGAGCTGGTCAGGACTCCCTCTGTCACCTCTGTACCGTCCACCTCCCAGCTCACCACAGCTCCCTGAGGAGAGTAGCCAGTCAGCAGGCAAGCCAGCGTGGCCGAGCCCCCAGAGAGCTGCTCAGAGGAGGGGGGGAGCAGAGAGACTGAGGGCCTGACCATGGTGCCAGCTGGAGGGGAGAGCAGAGACACACAAGGAGCAGATCAACTTCCACTGTAGGACAGACAGCTGAACATGAGACACTTATGATACATGACAGGGGTTAACACTACTGTGGATCAGCTGTGTGCAGGATGCTGTGATCAGAGGAGAGGAGGTGAGGAATGGAGGACATGAGGGTTTAACAAAGAAAACTTGATGTAATTTAACTGCGTCACTCATCATAAATCACTAAGAGTTATGCAACACAACTTAAAGAACTCCTGTACATGTAATGAAAAAGTATCATTAATTATCATTCAATGAAATGTTTATATCTGCTTAATAATGTTTAACAGTAAATAATTCATCTGTGCAATGATCTTATGAAACAATGTAATGTCTGTATACAGTTAAACACAGTGTCATTTGTTTCACTTCCTGTTCACCATTTTAGACTAACGAACTGTGAACGCAAACTGCAGGTATACTGTTAATATGAACGCATATGATTTAAAGGCATGCGACCCTGTACGCAGGATAAGCGGTTGGCGATGGATGGATGGATTTAAAGGCATATTATATTCATTTTAATTACTGTTAAAATTTAAAAAAATAAAAATTTGCGTTAAAATGTTCCTCAGACAAATTGTGCAACCAGTTTTTGTTGAGCACAAAATTCAATTAAAATTTAATACAAGAAAATATAATTTCATTTGGCACATATTTAAGCAAAACATTATCAATAATACTAAAATATTATTAATCTGTGGTTTATTCCAAAGTACAATATCTGCCATCTTGGTAAATAATAACAAATATCCACAACATATAAGGTGCCCAAAATAAATTCATTATTCACATTATTCTGCAAAATGCACTGTAATATTTTGTGTTATAGAAATTAAAAATCTCTGGTACTTACAATAAATGATGAGTTTGGTTCCTCCACCAAAAGTGTGCCACAGTGATACAAACTCATTAAGTGGCCGTACAAAAACCTCCTGCACTGTGAACAAGCATCTATAAACTGAAAAAGTGCTCTGCTTTTCCAATTGCATAAAAAAGTTATACTTTATTGAATCTAAAAAGCTTTCTAAATGACATGGATTGAACTTTGTAGAAATGATGATTATTTCATCACTTTTCTACACCTGACAGAGAAACGATTACAGTCTGCTTGTAAAAAGTAATTTTTTCACAGTTTTATGAGAGTTTTTAGATAGTTAAATGTACATCATACTTTTAAATAATAACAATTTACAAACTGACATTAAGCAGAACTTAAATATGTTATTTATCTACAGTAAACCCTGTATGTATATTAAAGACAGACATATCATACCAACCACAGTGGACACAAAGTCATCCTTAAATCCTCAACTGCACTTCTAATATAAATATTTTCTTCTGTTCCATTAAGATCATAGATGATTTAAATCCAGGCTGTTTTCCTCCTGATTTTGTGTCCCACGTTGGCTTCAGTCTGTTGAGAGCGGAGAAATAATTTCCATAGAGAGGAGGCTTTGCATCGTCAGCTGATCCTCCAGTGAACTGAGAAGGTTTATAGTCCTGTGAGTTCAACACTGCAGGACTCAGATCTGTCAGTCAACACGGCAGAAACCACAACCACCATGACTCTCATCACCATCCTCATCTGGACGCTGGCCTGCTGCTGTTTTACAGGTTCATTCACTCAGCAACATTTCAGACATGATGTGCTGCCTTTTCTCTCATTTCTTTCTGCTGATAAATGAATGATTTGTTTTTGT